AATGTATAATTGAATTAAAAACTGATTTTTATACAACTGATTTTCAATGGAAAGACAAGAATTATTTATTAAGTGTCTAAGCAATATTGAACTTTTAAGAGACTCATTGCATTTTCCTACTTGGGATTCACTAGGCTTAAAAACAAAACAAAAACAAAACAAAACAAAACCAAGAATCTATATAATTATTGTTTTAAAAAACATGATGAAAGGCAGGTCAAGAAATTAAAAGACAGTAACACTCTGGCCACCATCTCTTGAGATACTTTCCTTCATTCTTTCCGTTCCTTCAGATCCCAGTCACTTCCTTGACTCTCCACCGTCTCCCCATGTCTGTTAAGTCGTCCAGTGACTTGCTTCAGTCACTGTATTCTTTAGTCACGTGGGTGCTGGGGACCCAGTTCAAGCCCTCTGCAGGAGCAGTATGTGCTCTTGACCAATGAGCCATCTCTCCAGCCCCTTCCTTAATATTTTGAACCATGTTATCACAGATGTTTTAAAAATTTCATCTGAGCATTCTAACACCTGGGTCATTTGGGTCTGGCTTTGCTGATGGTCTTTTCTCAAGTATGGTTCACATTTTTCTACTTTAAAAATTTTTTATTTTGTATGTGTGGATGTTTTGCCTGCTTGTATGTGTACTACATGTATGCAGTACCTACAACCCTCAGCAGAGGGCATCAGACACCCCACCTACCCACCTCCGAACACACAGGAGTTACAGACTCCAGTGAGCCACCATGTGGGTGCTGGGAACCAAACCCAGGTCCTCCGCAAGAGCAGCCAGTGCTCTTAGCCTCTGAGCCATCCTTCCAGCCCCACTGTTTCCTACTTTTTGAACATTTGAATTATATTCTGGGCACTCTGTAAATGGTACATCATAGAAACTCACTTCTCTCCTGTTCCTCTGAAGGTGTGCACATGTGCGTGTGTGCCGGGTGGGGGTGGGGGTATTTTTGCCCTTGCTGTGCTCTGCTCCATATTTTCAGTGAGCAGCAGCTGAGATCTCAGTACAATTCTTTGGTTATGAGTCTCGTGCATGGGCAGCTCCAGGTTTCCAGAAAGTGAGCAGAGCTTGTGGGCAGAAGGGGCTTCCTTCCGACCTTCCGTTCTGCAACATCCCACCTCACTGCCCAGCTCTCAGATGCTGTGCCCACCCAAAAAGGAGCTCACAGGGCCAATGTTCAGAGGAGCTTGCCTGAGGCTCTTTCTCTGGCCCGGTTTCTGCCTGCTTTGGGCACCCAGCCCTGCTTCAGTTGGTCCCGGTTGGTCCTGAGCTGACGGTTGTTGCTTGCAAGAGGAAGTCCTAAGCCCCAGCCCGCAGCTGTCAGCCCTTGGTGTCGTGACACGTGCTGGGGCTTCTTGTTAGACTTTGTAGTCCTGGGAGGTAGGAGGGAAGCTTTCGGTTGTTAGGCATTTGAAATTCCTAAAAAGGAAAGAAAAAGTGAGCATACTAAATTTATAATTGTAGTTTAAATGAGTTGAAGGGAATTAACTAAGTTGAAATTGGAGCTGACTATTTCGGTGGTTTTATATGTTCAAAATTGCATTCATTAAACTGTCAGTACCAATTGATTGCTCACTTTTACTAGATTTATACATAGGAAAATATTTGTAAATTGACCCTAAACCTTAAAGCAAGAACCAGGTTTTTAGACTTGTTTTCCTTAAACTGAATAAAGAATAAAGGGCCGTCTTTTCAAGTGAGATAAGCCAGAAAATAAACAGAGAAAAGAAGCTGAGGTGAGCTGCTGGCCATTTGTGAGGCGGATGAAGGAGGGAAAGCCTCCCTGGCCTCCAGTCATCAATCTGAGGAGGTTAGGCCCAGTTTGCGACAGTTAGGTCAGGCATTGCTGATTTTAGGAGCCGAGGATTTGGATAGGTTGAGGGGGAGGTGTGGGTGTCCCAGAGGTGGAGAAGTCTGTGGAGGGAATGGGATAGCTTAGGAGGTAAGGCTAGGTAGTCCCCAGCACTCCCGCTACCTCACTGATGTTGGTGGGGAAGCCCTTACTGGGGTTCGGGAATGGTCTCTCACTTGGTGTATGGTCTCTTTCCTCAGATTGGAAAGGATCGGCCACTGAACTTTGACCCCTGCTGCATCAGCTACTTCACCAAAGGAGAGTACATTTTGGTGGGGGGTTCAGACAAGCAGGTATCTCTTTTCACCAAGGATGGAGTGCGACTGGGGACCGTTGGGGAGCAGAACTCCTGGGTGTGGACCTGTAGAGTGAAACCTGACTCCAACTATGTGGTGAGTAGAGGAAGTTCATCCTGCAGAGCATTTCTAGAGGAGGCCTTGAGCATCAGGTCAGCCAGGCAGACTCTTGGCCATCACTCCTAATGGGGGGTGGGCTGCTTCTCCTCCCAGCTTGAGATTGACAGCTGTCTTCTAAACAGGTGGTAGGCTGCCAGGATGGCAGCATTTCCTTCTACCAGCTTATCTTCAGCACAGTCCACGGACTCTACAAGGATCGGTATGCCTTCAGGGACAGTATGACAGACGTCATCGTACAACACCTGATCACAGAGCAGAAAGGTAAGAGGCAGGCTGGCTTGCCTCTGCTTATAAATACTAGCCAAGAGGTGGGCACAGGGGACAGGACACCCAAAATAATAGGAAATGTCTCCCCTGATCTGCCCCCCCAACCCCCAAGACAGGGTCCTGGAACTCACTCTGTAGACAAGGCTGGCCTCGAACTCACAGAGATCCACCCGCCTCTGCCTCCTGAGTGTTAGGATTAAAGGCGTGCATCATCACCGCCTGGCATCTCTCCTCTATCTTGTTTTAACTTTTGGCAGTAGAAGGAGGATACAGATCCCTTTGAGGATCCAGCAAAAGCAATAAAAGCCGTCAAAACAAAACAAAAAAAGCACCAGCTCACTACATTTTACAAACAATTCCAAGGTGTAAATGGACTCCTTGAGACACAGAAGCTGACAGATCAGAGCTACAATGGCTGACGTGCATGCAGTTTGGTGGACCTTTACCCTGTCTGCTCAGAGCCACTTTGGCATACTTTCCCCTCAGCTTCTATTTGTCTCTTGGTGGCTTCTGCTAGACAAGTAGGGCAGTGGATAGGCTCAGGCTGGGTCAGAGGATCAGGGGTTGTCTTAGGGTTTCTGTTGCTGTGAAGAGACACCATGACCACAGCAACTCTTATAAAACATTTAATTGGGGCTGGGTTACAGTTTCAGAGGTTTAGTCCATTATCATGGTGGGGAGCATGGCAGTGTGCAGGCAGACATGGTGCTGGAGGAGCTAAGAGTTCTACATCTGGATTGACAGGCAGCAGGAAGAGAGAGTGACACTGGGCCTGGCTTGAGCATTTGGAACCTCAAAGCCCATCCCCAGTGACACACTTCCTCCAACAAGGTCACACCTACTCTAACAAGGCCACACCTATTCCAACAAGGCCACACCTACTCCAACAAGGCCACACCTACTCCAACAAGGCCACACCTACTCCAACAAGGCCACACCTACTCCAACAAGGGCCACACCTACTCCAACAAGGGCATACCTCCACTCCCTATGAGTCTCTGGGCGCCATTTTCATTCAAATGACCACAGGGATCCAGCTTCACATAGTCTAAATTCTGACAGTTCCCTTTCTGTTCACCTAAGTAGCTCTATTGGTTAAGGAGGCCAAGTTCCACTCAGCCATATTCATATCTGGATGGGCTGACCACATATGCTATCTAGATGTGGCTAACCAGGTACGGCCAGGTGTCTTTGCATAGAGGTCCCAGTTAGGGGCCATCCTGCAGATTCAGTTTGGCTTCTTTTGTCCCTGCCTGGGTAGATCTGTGTTTCAAAATTTCCATCTAGGCGGTGTTAATGTAGCCACTGGGCCAGCTCAGCAGTGTCCTCTTGGGGTTGTTTACCCCACTTGGTCTGTAGAGAGGCTGAGCCTACCTCATGGAAGCCCCTGTGGTCAGGAAGGTTGCAGGGGTGTGGCCAGCTGTGAAATGGTCATCGTGGTGGGCTCTTGATCACTAGGGGCCGCCTTTGCTGTGCAGAGGAAGGAGCTCAGGCACATAGGACAATGGTGGTAGCATTCACTGCTTGACTTCCTTCAGTGTGGCTTTGGGCTGCACACATTGTACCATATGTAGCTCTGGATCCCACTCAGCACAGCTGCCTGCACATGGCAGGTGCTCTGGGAAGAATTTTAAAAGGATTTATTTACTTTTACTTTGTGTATGTGTGTCCAAGTGCCTACATATGTGTACCATGTATGTGCAGTGCCAGAGAAGGCCAGAAGAGGGCATCAGATCCCCAGGAACTGGAGTTACAGGTGTTTGTGAGCCTCCATGTGGGTACTGGGAACCAAACCCGAGTCTTTTATGAGAGCAGCAGTGCTCCAACCACTGAGCCGCCTCTCCAGCCCCTGTAAAGACTTTTTAATGACAGTGTCTCACTCTAATTGTCAGAAGCATTAAATAAATAAATGATGGCTTTTAATTTCTCTGCCTTTCACCTTACTTAACAACCTTTTGCTAGAGTCTTTTTATCCCCCATTTGACAGTTCGGATTAAATGCAGAGAGCTTGTCAAGAAAATTGCCATCTACAAAAATCGATTAGCTATCCAGCTGCCAGAGAAGATCCTCATCTATGAGTTGTATTCAGACGACTCGGCAGACATGCACTACCGGGTGAAGGAGAAAATCGCCAAGAAGTTTGAGTGCAACCTGCTGGTGGTGTGCGCTGACCACATCATCTTGTGCCAGGTGGGCAGCTGGTCCCCCTCCCCCAGAACAGGTGTCCACCTCAGGGGACCCGGTGGCTGGCCGTTGGCTTCTGCTGCATTGGCATCTAGATGAATCAGTTTTTAGAGAAAGGAAGGCCATAGCTGGAATGATTTTGTGCTATGGAGCATTTTGTATTGTACGGGATTAGATGTATTGTAAGATGTTCTACACCATGAAGGTTTATTTGTTTTTTGTTTTGTTTTGAGATTGTGATTTACTAGGTTGCTAAAGCTGGCCTCAAATTCATGATCCCCATTCCCACCCACCTCCTGAGTGCTAAGTTGAAGACATGTCATACCTCTCTAGGAGAAATTGTTTTAAAGATTTATTTATTCATGTATTTTATGTATATGAGTGCTCTATTTGCTTGTATGCCTGCATGACAGAAGAGGGCATCAGATCCCATTATAGATGGTTGTGAGCCACAATGTGGTTGCTGGGAATTGAACTCAGGACCTCTGGAAGAGCAGCCAGTGCTGAGCCATCTCTCCAGCCCCCTAGGATAAATGTTTATAAGCAGAAGTTTTACCTTTTGAGAGATTTCTTTCCTTTTTTTTTTTTTTTTTTGTCTTGAGGCATTGGGAATTGAACCCAGGGCATTGTTTATAGTAGGTAAGTTCTCTACAACTGAGCCACATCCCCAGTCTATTCTCTCTCCACCACCTTTATCATATTTATATGTTTTTTGAGTTGGGATTTCTCTGTGTAGCCCTGGCTGTCCTGGAACTTGATCTGCAGACCAGGCTGGCCTTGAACTCACAGGAATCCACTTGCCTCTGCTTCTTGAGTGCTGGGATTAAAGGCCACCACCGCCCTGCCCCCCTCACTTTTTTAATTACTTTGTATTTTGAGACTAGGTTTCACTAAGTTCACCATGCTGGCCGTGAACTCAGTCTGTAGCCCGGGCAAGCCTTGAACTTGCTGTGCTCCTGCCCCAGCCTCAAGAGTACTTGGAATTACAGACCAAAGTCTCTAAGAGGTTGTTTTTTTTTTTTTTTTTTTCAAAGAAAAGTTCTTCTTAGCATAGATTTCTAAAATTCTCTAGGTCAGTTCCAAGAGGAGTTTTGGAAAGACGTTGAGAAAAAGCCTACTGTGGGTGGACCTAATCTTGCCCAGGCCTGTTGGAAACTATAAAAAGGAAGAACTCCTTTAGGAGCCATTGTAAAACTAGGATCAAAACTGTGTGAGAGTCTTGAGCCTCTTGCCACTTAGGGCTACCCCAAGTTAGAGAACAGCGTGGCAAGGCAGTGTTCTGCTGCCTCTGACTCTGGAGGTCCCTGTTGAAGATGGCTCCTGGGGAAGCCTTTGGGGGAAGAGCCTGGGTTAGGTCGTTGCTCATGGTGCAGGAAGGTTTCCCCGAGGGGCTGGGAGCGCGCATTCTCTGACCCTCCTTGCTGAGTCTGGGTTGCTTGCCAGGAGAAACGGCTGCAGTGCCTGTCCTTCAGCGGAGTGAAGGAAAGGGAGTGGCAGATGGAGTCTCTCATTCGGTACATCAAGGTGATCGGTGGCCCGGCTGGAAGGGAAGGTCTGTTGGTGGGCCTGAAGAACGGCCAGGTGAGTCTTGCCATGCTACCATCCGGCTTGTTACCCAGGCAGGCACAGGTTTGCTGTCTGGAGTGACCTGAGATGGGCTGCGGGCAGCCTGGAGTTTCCTCTCATAAAGGTAGCTTCAGACTCCGGCCCTCGGACTCACAGCATGCTCACACCCGGCCGTTGGTGCCATGGCTCCCAGGCTGCACGTAGCAGGGATTAGTGGGCTTAAGGTCACCCCAAAGGTGGGATTTGTTGGAGCCACAGCTTTAGTGGATTGCTGGAGAGGCAGGCAGAGATTGTTCACGAGGTCAGAGCCCTATTAGGCAGTGCCTGGATTAACCAGTACTGCTGTCTGGGTCCCACATAGTGCTGGTCCTTAGACTGTTACTAGAAGCTGAAAGAAAATGTGCTGTTTGGACACATGGACTAGGAAATCTAGGCTATATGAAAGTTGAACAGATTTGTGTGTGTGTGTGTGTGTGTGTGTGTGTGTGTGTGTGTGTGTGTGTTCATCTGCATTCTTTGCTTGAAATAAGAAAAGTTCTATGTGGGCTACATAGAAATTTGAAAGTGAAAATATAACTGCATTAGCCCGAGAGCCAAGCTGTGTGGCAGATGGCTCGTGGCTGAGGCTTGTCAGGTCTTTGCTGGGGACGGAAGTTGCGGAGCATGAGATCAGTGGGAGCTGTCAAGCAGTAGCACCCGAGCTGGGGAGAGTCCCCCCGCCCCCAGTCAGCTGTCAGGTCTCATGTGAGGCCGAGAGCATGACTTTGGGGTCAGGCAGACCTGGGACCACATTCTTTTTTAGCTTCTCACTGGCTGTATGGCCCTGGGCAGATCAGTTTGCTCTCTGAGGCTCACGGTTTCCAAATAAAGGCAATACTATGTTTCTTCACAGGGCTGTCAAAAACAGGGACGTCAATGAATGGCAGCTGTCACCAGCAGCACGGTCATTATTACTTTATACCAGATGTCTCGCCTGTGTTTACAGTAGCCCGTCCTGTGTGTGTGTGTATGGTCCCCACCCTGCAGTTTGAGCAGTGTCATTAAAAATGTCCCCAGTCCGCACAGACGTTAGAGGGAGTGTGGCATGTCTTGGTGGCATATCTCGGGCCTCTTGTTACAGCTTCAGTGACCTCCAGCGAACCATTCTCCTGGGCTCTCCCCCACACACCCTGCTTTATTTAATGAGTCTTCTCTCTGCACACAGCTTCTGGAGGAGTTGGTGGGTGCTGTTCTTGGAGAACACATGGGACGCCAACAGCCTGGCAGTGGGCCAGGGTCTGGTTGCCATGGTGACTCACACTTATTTCTCTGAAATTTCGCCAGATCCTGAAGATCTTTGTGGACAATCTCTTCGCCATTGTCCTGCTGAAGCAGGCCACAGCCGTGCGCTGCTTGGATATGAGTGCCTCCCGGAACAAGCTGGCTGTGGTGGATGAAAATGACACGTGCTTGGTGTATGACATCCACACCAAGGAGCTGCTTTTTCAGGTGACGTCCTAGATAGAGGTGTGCAAGAAGGCCCGTACCCAGGCCTGTCTGGGAGGAACAGCAAAGGACTAGAACTTAGCACAGGTGTGGATTCTGAAAGGCTCCAGGGAACAGGTGGCCCGGCCAGCCTCTTGAGCATCGGTTTCCTGGCCAGCAACAGTTTTCACAGAGCAGGAAACAGTACTTGAGATGATGGTGACGAGTCTGGTGGCCAGGTTAATGTGTGGTGGGGATTCTTTTGCTGAAGTCTGTGACCCCCTTGCCCAGGACTGCCAGTTCCTCCCAGTACCTAGGGCACACTGGGAAAGACAGGTGGAGCCTCACCCTCAGCTTCCTCCACAGGGTGCTGTAGCACAGTGACTTGTGGATCCTTGGGGATGGGCATTGTTTCCTGTGGCTGGAAGAAGGGTGTCGATGAGTAGTCCAAAGACTGTACCTAACACCTAGTGGGTTTTCTGCCAGGCTAGGCTGTTCCTGGCTCCTTTAGGGCATTGTAAGTGGTCAGAGCTAATTTATGTGAAGTGAGGACCCCCTGAGGCTGGAGCCTCTGCTCTCAGGTTCCTCCTTTCAGGGTTTCTCAATATCGTGGGTAGACATGGATGCTCTCCCAAGGCCCTTCTTGTCCTTGGCAACAGAACCAGCAGGGTAGAAGTGCCTGGCTTTCCTTAGTCAGTTGGACAGAGATACTTGGCTGCCAATAG